CACACAGACAACCTCTCGTCAATATGCGTTTTTTGCATTGCATAGCTGCAAAAAACACATAAAAATTAGCAACTGGGGAAAAATCCCAGTTAAAGTGAGCGTGGATGAACATGAATTGAGCATGAATCTTTCTTTGTACTGCGGTATAGTAGTGCAGCGAAGGGTTTTTTTTTTTTACGAGACGTATCTGCGCCATTATTTTAGTAATCATAGGAAAATAATCATTTCATTCTGCCATAATGACGGCTCGGACGGCTGACGAAGAGGCGGCGTACATACGTCGAGCAAGTATTGGGTACCACGTTCATTCTGTTTGTGTTGTTCGGCGAATTAAACTCTCAAAACATTCCGGATTTATAAAAGGTGGCGGCGTTAGCCGACTGATCTCGGGCGGACTCGAACCGCCGACCTTCTGTGTGTTAGACAGATGTGATAACCGCTACACCACGAGACCAGATATCTTTATACCCTTACTATTGTATAAATACGTAGACTTGAATCAATTAGTAGGTTTAGACGTACGTTTGAGGGCTGTGAAATACGATGCTTACATTCCGCAGTCAATGAAATAATCATCTACTGCGATTACGGAAAACTGTTGAGCTAGAATTCCTTGAATTAAATTATAGTTATCAGTGGTTTAATCAAAGTGTAAAATATCAGGACCACCTGGAAATCAGTGCAGGTATCCTGTGTTGATGATGCTCTCACACATCAGTCACGCTTTTGACACGCATATTTATTTTATGGCAAAAATATTCGATTACCTGGTCTCGTGGTGTAGCGGTTATCACATCTGTCTAACACACAGAAGGTCGGCGGTTCGAGTCCGCCCGAGATCAGTCGGCTATGCCATTCACTTTTAATAAATTCGCGGTGTTTTGAAAGTTTAGTTTGCCGAATAATGTAAGGAGAATAAACGAAAATCAGTTTTCAACATCCACAGCGCTCTTTGCCAGACACTTCGGTCTTGGGGAAGCATATATCCATCCATCTTTAATTGTAAGACTGTGTTGTGTTAGCAAAACTACTTTATACGCTATATGGGTGAATTTGCAACTTAACTGATATTATTGATGGAATTTTTGGTAATTATTTGAAAATTGTTAGGGAAGGAAACTTGGGCTACCGTTAGTTACAGCACTTTTCTCATACTGATGCCTAGGTGGGCTTGCTGTTCAGGGAGTTTTGCAATGGTCTTTGGTTGCAGTCCGTCAAGAACTATGATTTTTTCTTCATAAAATTGTTATCAGAATCTGTCTGCTACCACGGATCTCCAGTTCTGCACCTGGCTCTTCACGCTATGGTGTGATGGAATAGAACGTATGAATAGAAAACAAATGAATTGTTGTGCTGCGGCGGGAATTTTTTCTTTTTTTTTTTCAGAAATAAAACAGCAACGCAATTTTCCAGAAGAAGCAGCACCGCTGGAATCCTGCTTGCATGGCGAGTTTTGCACGGGTGGTTCCTTCTGCATAGCCGGTTTCTGTGTTTGCGCAACCGGAAGCACTGCACTGAATGGAGAGTGCGTGCAGCATCGTCTGGCACCGCCGAATTCCTCGTGCAGTCCAGGCGTGCAGTGCACCGGCGGGTCGAACTGCGTTGGAAACGTTTGCACTTGTCCAGATGGCCAGCATTCTCTGGACGGAATATGTAAGGCGCCACCAGCAGGTTATTTATTGCCACACATTTTGACTTCCGCTATCAATTATCATACTTTGTTTGGCTGTTTTTCCATTCTTCTTGCCACTGACTCAGCTGGCAACTTCTTCATTCTTCCCTATTCTGAGATTCTTCCGTCTACATAATGACTCCATGTAGCCGTTCAAGCGGATCCTTCCATCGCATTGGCAGTTTTGCCCTTTTAACGCTGTCTTATTATTTTGAGAAGTCAATAGGAACAGAAGAACTGTTCTTGAATTGTAACAATATTGGAGCTAAATATTGACAGTTCTAGGCGTTTTGGTGATTACAGTGTAATATTTTCAGTAATGGCAGGAGGTGCGTGCCCGACCGGACGTGAGCAGTGCATGGGTGGTTCGAGCTGTGTGTCC